ACCTTTTACAATCACCAAATCAGCAAAAAATTGGCTAATAAAAATAAAAAATAAATAGGCCTATTCAGTTAGATAAAATCTGATATTTCCGGCTACTATTAAGATGTCCGAAATAGTTCATGGCAAAAAAAAATTATAAATAAAAATAAATAAATAAATAAAATAAAAAAAGAGGATGAAATTCGTAAAACTCTGTTATCCAACAATGCTGTTTCAAAGCGAATTTTGGAAATTAATATCAGCAGCTAATAGCTAGACGCAAAATGAGTCTCAAGTTTGCAATCCAATTGGATGAATCAACTGATATTACCAACTTGGCTCAATTATTAGTGTATGTTAAATATATTTTTGAAGGATGTATTCAAGAGGAATTTTTGTTTTCTCTCTCTTTGGATGAACGCATAAGAGAAGGACAATTTGTCAAATTAAATGAATTTTTCATTGAAGAAAATTTGCAATGAAAAATTGTGTTGGAATTTACACATACGGTGATAAAGCAATGATCGGTGAAAAAACTTGGATTTCTAGCCAAAGTAAAGGGAAGTCGGAACCAACACATAACATTTACTCATTGCAAGATATATCGAGAGGTCCTAGTGGTCAAAAACATATCAGCGGAGTTAGATATTATGCTTTGAGGTAGTGTTGAAGTGGTCAGTTTTATTAAAAGTCGTACTCTGTTTGTGTTCAAATCTTTGTAAAGACATGGGTTTTGAATTAAAAAGCTTTTTTTTTTACACGCAGAGATAAGGTGACTATCAAGAAGCTGCAGTTTAAAAAGGTTATTGAAATTAAAAGATAAAGTTCTTCTCTTTGTAACTGAACAAAAATAGGATTTTGCGAATTTATTCCAGAATTAGTTGTGACTACAAAAACTATATTATTTCTGTGATATATTTGAAAAACTAAATGAGCTAAATTTGTCGATTCAACGAAAAAGTTGCAACGTATTCATATTCAAATCAAAAATTGCTGATTTTATGAAATGTTTGTCGCAATTAGTGAATTTTTTCGTGAAAATGATGAAACAGATTCTCAAAAAGATGAGTTGTTAAAAGTGATAAATGAACATCTTCGGTGTCTTGAGAAAAACTTTGAGAAATATTTCCCTTCAAAGTTTAGTGCCGAAGAACTAATATGGATTGTGAAACTATTCGAAATTAATGTGGAAAATGTTACTCATCTGCCATTAGCATCACAAGAAGAATTTGCCGAGTTCTCATATGATTCGGGATTGAATATGGATTTTAATACGAAGCTTTTAGAAGATATTTGACTAGGAGTCGCAAAAGAATTTCCAACGATTTCTGTAACTGCCATAAAATTTCTTTTACCTTTTTCTATGACGTATGTAAAGAGACACTTTCGTCTTGAATCACAATAAAATCAAAGTGTCGATTAAATGTAAAGAATACTGAAGAAGTGCTTCGTCTGCGGTGTCGACTACTTTGCCAAGATCTGATAACAGAGTAAAAAATAAACAAGCATACTCTTCCCATTCATATTTATTCCTCACGTATGTGCTGTTAGAAGTAAGAGGTTTTTCTCAGAAGTGACCTTACAAGTGGCTACATTTAATAGACAGACTATAATTAATACTTGAATTTACCCAAGTATTATTTTTATTATTGTATTATATGTATTATATTTTAAAGTTTGTTACTTACTTAAAATTTTCACATTGTATGTCTTACTTTAGTAAATTATAAAATGAATTTTTTAAATTAAGTTAATGGCCTAAAACTGCTGTAGTATATATTGCAGTACATTTGAAGAAACTGACAGTTTCACCCACGCTTATGTAAGATTTGCGTAATGCTTATGGGGTCCCACAAAAGTTTCGTAAATATTATGGGGTCCTCACACCAAAATGTTTAAGAAAATCTGCTTTAGAGCATGGATGGGCAACACGCGGCAAGCATGCAACAGTGTAGCACGGTGGAGTTTTAACAGTGGCACATTAAAACTTATTGAAAAATTTAAAAAATTGAGAAAATAATAATGCTTGTCTTTGGGAACTTTGTCAAAATTAATAAAAATTCTACTCATAAGCCACTAAATAAAACAGCGCTGGAAACGGCACTGCTTGACACCAGTACAGCGATAAGACAGCGTGGTAATGAGACGAGCTCAGTGATTTGAGTTGCCTTGCTTTGGCTCGTTGTCGAGCGAGAACGTGTGCTACATTCCGGCTGTCTGGTTCAGTTTAAACTGCCGAGCAAGGCGTCAAGTATTATTGAACCATTTTCAAATTTTAGTGTCAATCGTGGTTGTTTTACAAATTTTATTTTCACTATGTCCACGGATAAACTTTCGGCATTGAAAAGAAAATATGAAAGGGATATTGCAATTCGTGCTTTTAAAATAACCTGAGAAGAATTTTTTTTTTTTTTACATATCAAAATACTTCCAAGCCTGTTTGGTTATTTGCGAAATTTGTGTTGCAGTGCGGAAACTTTTAACCTGGACCGGCATTTTAATCAACTGCATAGTGATTTCAACAGCAAACAGCCCGTCGGATCTCACTTGCGAAAGGAATTTATCAATAATAATAATAATATTAAAAGAAATCTTTATTTAGCCAATAATTCTTGTTTCAGAAGAGAAATGACCAAATAGAAAATATGGTGAAGGTTTCTTATGAACTTTTCCTGTTGTTTAGCCCTGCAAGAAAAAAACCCTATTCTGGCTGAGAGGACACAATCAAGAGTAGCCTTTTAATATTTGCTCAAAATGTCAGTGATGTAAGCGTCAAAAATGTGGTTGATAAAATAACTTTGTCTAGAAACACCATCGTCGTATCGATAGGCCAAGATGGGCCAAGATGTTGCCAAGATGTCGCAGGATTTTGGAATTCTTCAGAGTAGTGTGCGCTGGCTTTCTAAAGGAAGTGAGTGTACTCGCAGGATTTTGGAATTTAAGAGAGTGTTTTAAAAATATCTGGAAGAAAGCAAGGAACTACCCAGTGAATGCTTGCTACTCAAGAATGAAGATTGACTATGAAATTTAGCTTTTCTCACCGATATAATAGGACACCTAAATAATTTAAATTTAAGATTACAGGGAAAAGATTGTAAAATCCTACTTTAGGTGGTCACATATCTACTTTTGTGAAAAAAAAAACTTTGCATTTTAAATTCGATTTTAGACAGAAAAAACTAACACATTTCCCATTAATGCAGGCACTAGTTACCAAAGACAGTAATGCTCCAAACGATGATAGATTTAAAAATTTAAGGTCCGTTTTGTAGGATTCAATCAGTTCTAGGTTTTATGATTTTCAAGATCATAAAAAATGCTGATCTTTTCGTTAAGTCCTTTTTTAATTTCTCTGCAAGACGTTAATTGTTACCCAACTGAAATCCATTGTTGACCTACACCATCAGACTATTCTGAAAAGAAAATATACTGAACTTATTTCAACAGCAAGTGATTCAAATAATATTGAATTTTGGATATTTGTAACAACAAGCAGTTTTTCCCAATTTGCACGATTTGGCTTTCAGATATTGTTGTAGGTTTGGATCAACGTAAATTTGTGAATAAATGTTTGAACTATCATGAACATAATAAAATGAAAATGTAATTCAAAATTATCCGATATATACCAAAAACACCTGATTTTGTTAGCATCTTCAAGAACTAATCATAATATAGATGACTTAGTAAAAAAAAAATACAGATTCAAAAGTGGATTAAGTACCGACTGCTTAATAATTATTTAGAATGAAATATTTGTAACAATATTTGAAGTTCTTCATTTTTCATTTTTATTTTATACATAACCTGACTGAAACTTTAGAATGTTTATTAGCAATAAAACCTGTGTATACTTGTGTTTTATTTATTATGTTATTTTTTTAATTTCCATTACTCAGACTTATATGAAAAAAAATGTGCTCTGTGCATAAAAATCCCATAATCAGCCTATAAATAAAATTATTTCCTCTTTTCATACTTTTATTATGCTCGAAAAGTTGGATTTAGCACGCATAATTTCTCTTCAGATAGTGTCCCTCTTTCCAAAAAGATTGGCTCCCCTGCTATAGAGTCATCAAGTTCTTTTGTCATCAGTAATCTTGTAAAATCAACCGTGTTTTGGTCAGGAATCAAGTCAAAGATCTTCAGCTTGCCAGATGGATATATTGTTCATTACATCATAAGAATACTTAGAAGAATGTTCGGAATTTCTCATTACATACCCTCCGCATTTAAAGGATTACTAGAGAAGAGGCAAGACTAGTCGGGCAAATTAAGGCAGTATAGAGTAATCGTTATTAAAGTTATATAGGGCGTTGTTTTAGAGTCATCAGTTTTCCTATTAGTTATCATGAAGAATGTTCTTGCACCTATATTCCTGTCTGGAGTACAATTCGAGTTCTTAACTGGCTATGCTGAGTTGTAAATACAGAACATATGGAAGCAGCGTCTCATAATCTAGTAATGCTCTCAAAGTTTTCTGTTTGTTACCACGATGATCTTATCACGAATTGTCCTATCATAACTGTCATGGTTATCCTACCATGACATTGTCCTATCACAACAACCGCAAATGTCTTATCATTAAAAGGTTAACTAACCAAATTTCGGAAGTTTTCGTTAATCACATTGTGATGGCATTGAGAACCAGATAAAATACCATATGTGCCAGATTAGAAGACTGTCCAATACGAACAAGGAATGCATTTGATGCCATCCGGTTATGCTGTATAACTCTTTTTATTCTTTGTGTTCTGCATTGCTCAACATGTTTATGCATTCACCTATTGAAATTATGTAGAAATTCCTTTCGATTACTGTGCCTTCGTTTACGGTACCTGAAACATTGTGCTGTTTAAAACAATTCGAGGCCAGACGACACCGGAATTTCGTGCTTTTGTGGCTGGTGGAACAGGAGGTTGTTGTTTCAGAAAAATCCTTCGTGGCCCTCCTGCGCGACATTCCGGGTGGAGAGCGAAGGTCGACGGCCAGCATAGACGCGGTTCAGAGCTTCCACTATTGGCTCTTATTGCCGTGACGCACCACCGCGGAGAAACCAGCTAACCCAGTTTTGGGGAGCGCGCGTGCCGGACACGCAAACGAGACTCGAGCCACTCAACGAGTTCTGCCTTTCTCGAGACAGTCGGAACGCCGGAGAACAACTCGCATGTGTGATTTCGGAAGTGGATAACTTTTTCCCAACTAGAAGGGTTTCAATTTTGCGGTCAGGTGAGTTATTACTGTTTTGCACTTCCCCAAATTTAGATGAAAGCCGGTTTATTTAAACGCAATTTATATGCCCAAAAGAATTTATTTTAAGCTATAAATTACAGTCATTTATTTCGAATGTAGCTTAAATAACAATATTTTCTGTATAACGTTTTCCTTGCGGGAAAAAAAAAAAAAAAAAAAAAAAAAAAAAAAAAAAAAAAACATTAATTAGAATTGAAAAATGTTCCGGCAATTTATATTTATAAGTATTATAAAACTGTTTAATTTTAATAAATATATTTATTGATTGTTTTGTTTGAGTAATCAAAGACTAAAAAACTTCTATATATTTATAAGGGTATGTATTATTCAAGATTTGATTTAAATAAACAACATTTTGAAAACAAGAACAGCAAAGGAAATCAGGTTATTATCTTCTGTTTTCAGCACAGATTAAAATAACAGGTTTTGTTTAAGAATTAGGTGGCATCTTTACCGGGGATTTAGGATGATGCGTTTTAAAAGTAATTGTTTCAGTAGCTTTAGAAGGATTTTTTTAATGATATTATTCATCATGAGATGCATTGAAATCGGGCTGATTTTTTTATTTTTTCTTAATTAAAATGCTTTGATATCAGGTCCTTGTTCTGCTTGCTAATACCGCATTTGACGGCATATAAGACGCGCTGGCATATAAGACGCATCCTTATTTAGACGGCCACACACAAAGAAAAAAAGTTTCAATAGCGTGGTTTCTTTTAGTTCTCACGTTTCGTAAAAGCCAAATAAACAATTATTGAATGCAATTACCTTCACGTATAAGACGCAGGTAACTTTTTTGAGACCAAATTTAGGAAAAAAAGTGCGTCTTATATGCCGTCAAATACGGTAATTTAACCAACATAAAGTATCTACATTAACATTACTTTTTTACAGCACGCGTTATTTTTATATATTTCAAAATTATCTTGCTTTATTATAGTTAGTATTTAATAGTATATGAATTATTTTCTTCCTCTTTCAATTTACTATACAATTTTTAACTCTTATTACATCGTTTATATATTATTTGTGATAATATATAAAGCTTCACTTTTGGAGAAAATTAGATTCATTCAACTGAGTGTATACTAATATTTTAACTTATATTTATTTTTCATTTAATATAGCATAATTATGAATTAAGATAGTCTAAAACACTTTTATTTAAAGTTATGATAAAATAAATAATTCAGATGAAGATGAAATATCCACGAATCAAATTTAGTTATGAATGTAAACTTTATATTCATTTTACAACACACCAAAGCAAATAGCGGGTTCTTATTATTAAAGCTCTGCTTAGATCTTTAATATATCTGCAAGTTTCTCTGCTCAGTCAGTAATAGATACATTGCGATTATATACATCTCCTGCTGAAAAATAATCGCTTACCTTTGAAAACAGCTTATTAAAAATAATCAGTCTCATTCGCTAAAACATAGAATTCTATAAGAAACTGGTACCATAGATTGTATCTAAAATTCCACGCATTTAGAAAAATCGTCTGATAATGTCCACCCATAATATGCAAAGATCGCTCAGCCAAGCATGCGAATCATAGAAAATTCCCGACATATAACAGGCAAGAGGAAAATATGCACCAAAATATAAGTGCAAGTTACATTTCCCGAATACCGTGCGAATTGAGACTGTGTGTGCTGTAATGTTGTTTGCACTAGAAGATGAAAATGCTCTTATCCATGTATTCTGCTGGTTTTCTCACTGCGACAGATATTACTTCGTTGTATCATGTTGTAAATGCTGTCACGTCTATCAACTTCAACAAGAGGATGTTTTCCGCATAAGATAGTTGTTTACAAGGGATATGTATGCAACATCACAATCTTGCTTTCAGTTGGTGAACTTATTGATGAACTGTGTAATCTATGGCAACACATCTCGCGGAACAGCAAACGACATTAAACTGTCTATCTTGGAAAGACACGAATGTTTCTGTAGCTACATGTTTATTCAATAAATGGATTGATTGCTATCCAGTTTTAAAAGCTTCATTTTTATTTGCTAATTGCTATTGCTACGATTCATGACGATAGAGCAATTTTAGGTGAGCGTGGTATATTTTTTAACGCAGAAGATATTTTACGTTAGATATATCATCTGGTGGCGTACTGGCAATAAGTAAAAGCGAAAAAAAGGCGAACCTATGACAAAAAAAGCTAGCTTCTTTGCTAGTAAGTTATTTGCTTATATTTCTCATCGGCTACATATTGCGCAAAACACCTTTGTTATACTTTCAAAATACTTTTAACGTTTACTAAACAAGGATAAATTTATGAAACATACAAGTTTTCTACACGGTTTCCATTCATATACAGAAGCAGCTTCTTCATGTGGAATTCTGTTTTCTTTAGAGACATCTATAAAATGTGATCATATATTTTTTCTTGATTACCAAATCTGAGGAAAAACTTGTATTCTTCGTCAAGGGGAAGTATGAAAATTGCTTTGTCTTTGCGAACAACGTGCAAAGTAATTAATGCCCAGTAATTTCTCCTAAAAACAAGTGTTAAAACTAAATTAATCCAGATAGTGTGGTTAATAAGTAGTTTTAAATGGAAAATCTGCAACTTTTATTATGCAACTGTATTGAAAATTTATTGTTTATTTGTCGGGAACTGTCTGCCTCTCTTGAACCCCAAGTGGCCCTGTATTGTATTATGATGCTTCAGGTTTACAACAAATAAGACCATTATAGGTACATCAAAAACATTAAATTCAAATATTGCCATGCCACCCTAATCGTTAAGTGGTTAGTGATGCTGGCTAGAGAATCTTTGGCCTTGGGCTCGAATTCTTGAGAAAGCTTGGATGTTTGTAAGCCTGTAGTGTTTTGCGGCTGTAGGAAGCTTTTTAAGTACACAGCAAGCAGAACGTCTGGTGGTTTAGTGATAGGAAAAAGGGGCAGCAAGCCGTTTGCAAAATTGGAACGGAGCTGAGTAAAGACGTGCTGTCACTTATAAGAAGTCCAAAGTTCATGCCAAGAGCAGCGCAATAACATGTTCATTGCCCTGATAAAATTCGTGGATTTGTTCGAATGTGATTGTCAGACAAGTAACATAGGTGGGAAAATATTAAAGAGGTAGACAATTAATCCATCAACTATTTCATTGTCTCCACGAAAAAAGAATTCCAGTATCCTTCGACTATTTCTCCAATACAGCTAAATGTGCATACTTGACTGCACGTATTGATGTTCATACTATTCTATTAAAATTAATATAATTGTTTCAAACATTTGCTATTATTTTACGTATCAAAGAGCTGGAAACTTTATTAATACGAATTAAAGTGTTTATTTTATATCTAATGCTCAAGACTTTATTAATAAAATGGATTAAATTTAAAGCACGCAATGATTGTGATGTCTTATTTTATACGTGAAAACATCAATAGTGCAATACCTGCTAAAGTTTTTGGAAATTCTGGTCCGAGAAAAAAACCTACTAAACGTGAAACACGAATATGGATGTTTTTAACTTGTTTTATTGCTTTCTCTGCCAAGCTTATCTCTTTTAAGGGAAAATTACTTTAGGATTAATATTATCGAATAATAAAATGCGCATAGTTGAATTTATATGTCGTAACAATTAAGAGAAAAACAAGCAACAATTTCCTTTTCTTTTAATTTATTGCTTAATAAACTGAGTAATTTAAATGCAGTTGTTAATAATTAAAATATTTGTTTTATTTCATCGTCAGTTAATGCAATTTAGATCGCATTTAATTTATAATACATCTGATTGACATCTAAAAACATTTACACTATTGCTTTAATTAACAAAACATATTTCTAACGCCTAATATTACGCATTTCGGTACAGACTTTTAAAAAATGATTTGTTGCATATTTCCTTAGTTTATTGTAATAATGTGCTAGAAAAGTATTCAAAATGAGAGGCATTTTCTTAGATTTTCCAAAAACAGCATTCCAGGCTCTTCAGTTACAGTTAGGCACAATTTACAATATTGTAAAGGTATCTGACATTAATAAGACAGAATGTTTTTTTCATTTCCAATATGCTTTTCGAAGAAAATTACAGTTAATTTCCAAAACAAATGGCGAATTTATATTTGCTCTTCTGAGTTCCAGAAGTTTCTAACATGCACTGTTCTTCAGAATTCTTTAACAGCAGTTTTAAATCTAGATGACTATATTACTCGAATCTTACTTCAGAACGGTTGGTTATAGGTGTTCTATAAGGAACCACTAGTGAAATGATTAAAACCACAGGAAAGGTTTTATTTTATATTATTTCCTTCTCTTCTGTGCTGTTAATATAGGATAGACGTATAAATTTTGGTCTTTTGGGGCATAGGTCTAAAAGAAATATTATTCTTTGACTCACAGTTAGAAGATAAATTCGTTCAACTCCTCATTAGTTAAACTGCAGAATGAGTTTTTATTACCTATTCACGAAAATTAAGATGTTTCTGCACTGGTCTTTTATCAGAAGCGATAAATTTCCTTGTGTATAAATATATCTGAAATGTTAAGCAACACTGCCATCTTAGAATGCGTAAAAATGCTGTTGCAACCTATATTCCATTGAAGAATACGTATAAAAAATCAGGCCTTAAACGAAGGGAAAATTGAACAGGAAAGAGGTATGACGTTATCTTCCAAATAAGGAGAAAGGCCCTTCAAATCTGACAGAATTACAGAGATATTAATCTGTGTCATGTTGTTCACTTGACATACTGAAAACATTTTTGTCAGATTAGAGTCATACATTCCTGCTTGGTATTCGAACGGCCTGCAATAACAGAAATTCACTTGAAGCTAATTTTTAGATCATTAATGACACTGCAAATTTATTTTTACCATACATTTTCTTAATCAGAAGTGTAACTGATTAATATAAATATCACAGTGTGATAATAATAAGAGTAATAATATTAATGTTTTCAATTAAATATTAATTGTGACATATGGAATGATTCTTTTCTCTTTTCTT